TATTTTTGCAGTTTCCCAATGTTAGATAGCAGGTGTTTATTGGATTAATGTTGATAATGGGAAGCTCAATAGTGAGAAATAACATATAATATCACTAAGCACACACAGGGGTCATGGGAGCTAGTCTATGGTATTTCTGTCAGAATTATTATCTGACAGATATTTCTGTCAGAATTATCCCAGGAAGTGGGATAGTTTCCTGAGGAGATTCAGCTTCCCCTACTTTGTATTCCTATAATTAGGATGGGAAATATCAACCATATCGTCTATCTTAATTTTGTTATTTTTTGTTTTTGTTTTTCAAGACAAGTTTTTTTCTTTGTAACTGTCCTGGCTGTGTTGGAACTTGTTTTGTAAACCAGGCTGGCTTCAATCTAACAGAGATCCTCCTGCCTCTGCCTCCCTAGTGCTGGGATTAATTTGCACCCTGACTCTACATTAATTCTTACTTTCAGACAGGCCATCTGATCCTGTTGCCAGCTCAGCAGCCTTCAGACCACAAGGTGCAAATTGGAAATCAGGGGAGCAATCTCAAGGTTTCTCCACAGCCCTATCAGGCTGTAGGAAGCTTTGTGTTAGCCATAGTGCAGTGATTGTTTGTTCATGTGTGTGAAGAAGGAATCATTTAATCATTTCCTACTTGGTGTGTGTTAGTCTAGGGTTCCCAGATCAATTTGCAGAATGCAAAGAGAGACAATTTTTAAACCTGAAATTCAGTCCCTGAAACTCTCGAAGAGTACATGGTTACAGATGCCATGCTAACAGGGGCAACCTCCCTACTGTGTGGTCCCCTCCCCCAGAGCTCAGAGAGCAAGGCTCTCACTCCTGTGGCCTTAATAGTTAGAGCTTTCAGTGTGAAAACAAGGGCTTGGGATAATTTTCTAAATTATATGAAAACTGTACTAAGAGACTCCACATGAGCTAATAGGCAGAGTAAATAGCAGAGGAGAGCCAGAAGAGAATTATGTGACTGGCCTGAGAGGTTTAACTGCACTCCCTTAATTAGGTTTAGTCTTACCTGGCCCACAAACCAGTTCTGCATTAATTAGAAGAGATGATTTGTAAACAAGTGAGTCTATATTCTGCTCACTTTGTAAATCATGTGGAAGCCCTCAAAGACAAGAGTCTCTAAGAAACCTCACTATGTCTACTGACAGGACCATCTTGCTGTGGTCCTAAGGTGGTTTGTGAATTATGAGATGTCCCTAGGAGCAATCTGGTCCTCAGAGAATCCAGGGTAGTTTAGGGCTTGTCATCTGGTAGGATGCATCTTGGGAATGGTCAGGAAGTTAGGCTCCTTCCCTCACTGTCAACTTGGATTGGCTCCTTCCTATGTCAGTCTCTCTCTGCAAAATGTTGATTTTCCTCGGGCTGGTTAAGCTTAGACACTGAGTTCTGAACACCACAAAGCACTTGAAAGAACTTGGCAAATGATTCTAATGATCTAAGATGTAATTTTACAAAGACTTCCCTCTGCTCAAGGCTTTCAAGTTTAATTAACCTCATTAAATATTAGTGATTTAAAAATCCTGCTGCAAAAAATTCTAAAACCCCTATAAAAAAAAGGTAGATGCACAATAGTAATTAGCTTCCTTTCAATCACCTCCAAATAACTTCCAAATAAAACAGTGACTGTCATCTGTTCTAGGCACACATGACAAGGAAAAAAGAGAATGGAAAGGGGGTCATTAGGAAGTTAGGTTCAAGAACTTTCTCTAGGAAAACAATTTACTTTCTGGGGCTTCAATTATTTCATCTATAATGTAGGTAGTGGTGATGGAGATTAAGCTTTCCAGGGCTTGTTGCACGGCAGAATAACTGCTATGTGTATATCCAGAGATCTTTGGATGCCCATGCTTTTGTCCAGGCTATTGAATGAGACTCCAGATGTGAATCTTACATATGGCCATTTGTAAAGGCCTTCCCTGTTACTTTGTGTCCCCAAGTCAAGAACCACTGATTATGACCCTCAAGTGCCTTTGATGCTTAAGGGTCCGTGATATATTGCTGTCCTACACACGTGATAGGACGGACACCTAGCTATGGCTCTCAAGTAACTGGAGGCATTTTGGTAATGAGTCTATTCCTCCTGCTGCCTGCCCCACCGTGTGCAGCCCACCTTGGCATTTGGAAAATGCTAGAGCTGGATCCTGGGCTGCCTTGAAGGAAAAAGTTAAATGTTATATCTTACCTTAATTAAAAAAAAAACAAGTCAATCTTGCCCCTAGAGTGTTTGGATGACTTTGCTAACACTCACTTCCAGGACTCCTTTCAGAAGCAATGGCCCAAAGGCACATTAAGTTTACTGGCCTGTCTAACTGCAGTTTTGGAGAATAATTAACCATACAGTGCTCTCAGGAAGACTGGCTTCTTTCACAGGAAGTGGGTGCCAAGGCTGTCTGTCCAAACTGCATGCTGGTTTGCTCAAGAGGCTGGGAAGCAAGGGAGGCTCGGGTTGGCAAGTATCCATTCCCCTGCCTCATAAAATGAGGCCTGACAGCACCACTTCTTTGTTTAGACAGGAGAAGCAGAGTAACTCTGGGGCAAGCTTTCAAAGTGCACAAGATGCTCGTTTGTGTCTGGACGAATGCTGGGGATTTCCACTCGCTAAATACCCAGTAGTAATGAAAAGAAAACTGGCCTTCATTAGGCTAATTAGGCTTGGAGAGAAAGAAAGGGTTGCCCTTAGAGTGACTGCCCTTTAGGCCACCTAGGGCCACTTTAACCTCGGGGTCACCATCACAGTATGTGGAAAACAGTGCTCAGAAGGGCAGTGCTTAGAGTTCACTTCCCTGGGTTTTTGTCTTGAAATTCTTAATATCTGAGGACTGAGATGTAGCTCAGTGGTACGTACTTGAAGACCATGTGTGAAGATCTGGGTTTGATCACAGCTCTGAAAAATATTTATCAATATGTGTTGGAGAAATGGAATCCAAGGGGATTGCAGAACACTTGGTTGCTCATTTATAATCACGACTATTATTCATTATAGATTATGAAAGAAATTGCCAAAGTATTTTGCTGACCATTTTGAAGGGCACATGCTAATAAACTCATTTTGAGTTTTGGTCTCTAGGCTTCTGGGGCGGGGGGAGCGTGTCTCTCAAATTCACCAGAAATTTTCAGGAGACAAAAAGAATTTCCAGTAGAGGAAAGTTATACAACAAAAGGGCTCTTGCTGTGTTCACTCTGATGTCACACTCACAGCAGGTTAGCGATGAAAGGGGACAAGGACTGAGATGGGAAGGACCCCAGGTAATGTAACTCATTCTGATTTGATGGTATGAGTGACTGCCAGGGCCAGAGAGAACGTGGATATCAGTTCTCAAACCTCTAGCTAGCTTTCCTGATGGTGGCTGTCACTAACACCGTTCTTCACAGAACAGAGCTTAAACTGTGGGTACAAGAAAGCTGATGCCCTTGTGAAAACACTCTAGTGGGTCTTTGGGCTTTCGGGAAGTACAGGAAGCTACTTCCCTGACCCATTTCTGTCATTTTCATACATATATTGAACACTAGCTGTGCATCAGGTGTCTTCCATCCTCATGAGCATCACAGAAGGCAACTTTACCAGCTTTCTAGGTAGAATACTTGAGGCACGTGTATATTAAATGGCTTAACAAAGACTTTCCAGTAAGAGAGAGAATTTATCTAGTTCTGTGACTTCAGGAGCACACATCTATTTTGATTGGTAACAAAGTTTCCCTCGGAGTAAACCCTTCTGCAGCTTTAGCACCAGGCACCATTTAAAGCCCGTAATACACAGAGGCACTGTTAATCCCTGAGATAGCCCTATGAAGTGGAAGTTACTACCCCATTTTACACACAAGGAAACTAAAGCACTGGGCTTAAATTGAACAATCACACAACCAGAAAGTGGCAGCACCAGGCTATGAATAAAATGCCAGTGGGTTCCTAATCAAAAGGCAACCAGTAAGCTACAGGGTCCAACCTTTCAGAATTATACATAAGCATTGCCTGGAAATGTAAATTAAAGTATATGAACTAATAGGGGCATAGATCAAAGGAGTGTCCCTTATAGGATGAGTCAAATGTTTCTCCAGGTTCTTTCAGAGCCTGGGGAAAATGAGAATATTACTAACACCAGCTAAATTAGTTCACACCCATTGATACATCTAGCACTGTGCTGATGTCTTACATCTATTGTCTGACTCTTTCAACAGCCAGAGGCAAGTCTGCTGAACTACAAAGCTTCCAGAATTTTCAGAACACATGCTATACTCTTAATTCTTTGAAAGGTCTATGTGGAGTCACATTAAGTGTAGTCCATGGGAACTATGGTTCAGATATGCAAAATTTCTATACAGTTCTCAAGTCCTTGCTAAAGATATTTTCCTTTCCCATTGAGAATATTACTAACCCAGCTACTTGGAGAGAAGGTGCCTGATATGGATGACAAGATCTCTGTCAAAGCCAGGAAGGAAACAGCTTGGGAAATGCTGTTAATAAAACAAAATAGAAACCTAAAAGAAACATTTGTTTCCTCTCTCCAAAGCTGGGGTAAATGATTTAGAAAACGGCTATGTAGATGAGACATAGAAAATAATGTTGCAAACTGTAAATAGTTACAGGAAACAAGCCAGATTCAGAAGGACAGGTATCACCTTTTCTCTCATACATGAAGGGCAGAGAACAGTGGATCTGAATGTAAGAGTGGTTAAACGCAGAATGTAAAGGTGCTGGTGGGTTGGGGGTGAATAAAGAGGTGATGGATTTGGGTAGAAAGGACATTGTAACGCACGATCATATACAATGAAAGATTTTAACCAAAGTAAAAATCAGCTTATCATCTGATCTCATACCAATGATTTAAAAAGTCCTGGGGAAGGTTTTCTTGCCCCTACTTTATAGACGCCCTACTGCCAAGTGACAGAGGCCAGGCTAGCTTGAAACCTACATCCCAGGCTCTTAGCAGTTCCCTTATAGGATGTGGAATTGTATCTGGGAGTGAGTGACTGGCTTTTTATTGTTATTATTACCATGGCTTTGTTGGAATGGCCACCTCCTTGGAACTCAATGGTCCCAAAAGCATCTGTTGGGCTGAGCTGAGTGTGTTTGCTGATGGACCACTTCTCAGACTGGATGTCATTGCGGGAGAGGCGACTCTCATTTTTCTCATTCTGAAGCACAGAGATACTGGGAGTGAGTCCGACATGCTGGCCTATTAGGCGCCCACAGCAACACCTATAACATGAGAGGTTAAAGTGAAGTGAACCCCTTGAATCAGCAGCCATTACAAGAACACACACTTAAGCAGCCTGTTAGAGAAACTCGCAGACCATGTTGACCCATTCCAGTTAAGTGGTGGGTGAAATTCCAGATGCAGCCTTATCAGAGAAATGGTGGAGGGAGGCTTCCCACAACACCCCATCTACTGCTCTTCCCTGCCACCCAGTTTATCTGTCAACACACTCCCTGACCTCCTCCACCCACACCTTTAAGCACTTGGCATACTGCTTGGGACAGGGCAATTGTGGACAAAAGTTCTCTAGATTTTTCCACTTTTAATTGCTCCCATCTATCAAATCTTGCATGAAGGATGCTGAAGAGCTTCAAGGGAAAACTTTTAACATGTACATTTAAATGAGGAATCTCACTTATGTGTGAGTCACAACCTCACTTGTCTTTCCAGTTGATATTTACTGTCAAATATTCAATTCTGAGAATAAAAATCTATACGTTTTTCTTTGAAGAAGAAATGAAAAAATAAAAAGGAAACTTAAAATTGGTTCCCTCTGTCATCAAAATGTCCTTCATATGTTATGATGACCACTATCACAATTATTAGTAATGATAGTTACATAACATTCTCTTAAACACTAACAATTTAGGATACACTGAAAAAAATGTTGCAGCACTGAATCTTAAGCAATGTATCCAAGATTACGTATCTAGCCTATGGCTGTAAGATCTGTATTTTAAGCAGCTGTTTAGAATTGCCCATTCAAAGGGCATTTCTAGATCACAATGGACTTTTTTAGCTCCCTGCTTTATAGACTGCTGGTTTTCAGGAAGGAAACTACAGTGCCAAAAGACGTGCAGAGGAATCTGAAGGTCAAACCATACATAGTCTCCTAGGAGTCTTTCATTCAAGACTGTCTTGTTCACTATAGCAGGACATGTTGGTACCAATGAAACAGTTTGACAAAATGTTAAGGTGGGAAAATAAGTAATTGCAACAAAAATATAGTATACTGTTATATCCAGGGATCAGTCTTTCTACAATAGTGGATCTGTTTCTCTGTGTACGGACACTTAGTTGAAGATTAACTTTAACCATGCATATTAAGCAGTGCAATATATATTTGCTTCAAAAATATATTTAATTTGACAGTGGTTCCCTTTCAGTGGTAGTAATTACTATTGTACTCTATGCCTGTAATTTCTACTTCACATTCTTAATACATTAAAGACCATAGGATTACCTATGGGGGTCTTTGGTGCTGGGTATGATGTGAACACATTCTCTTTTATAAAATGCTCTTTCAATCCAGGATTTCTGAGCCTGAAAGAGAGAGAGAGAAAGAAGAAAAATGAATATAAATTTTAAATCTTTTTACCACCATGCAATCACACAATACACTAGTATATCATAAACGGATTCCAAACTGCATATCATCCAACAAGCTATTCTCAGAACCTGTTGACTGGGTTAACATTATAATGTTGAGAAGTAAAGGAAATTGTCAGGCTGGAAAAAGTGTTAGTAATGAGATCGTAGGCATGTTCATTATGGTTTCTAAAGGACAGAAACACAAGGCTATTCATAGAGAAAATGAAATTGAAGGAACAGACATTGCATTTATAATCTTACAAGAAAAGCAAGATTCAAAAGTCAGAGGAAATACATCTAGTTCAGTAACCTTCATGGTTGAGGCTTCTACTAGATTCTCCTTACAGAAAGAAAGGATGATGGCAGAGGGAGTACACATTCAGAATCCCTGCTACATCACCAAGGTTCCTTAAATCCAAGTTTGTGATACAGAAGAACAGAGAGGGAGAAAAGGGAATGGGAAGACAAAGAGAATAAATGTAAGCACAGCCTCAGTGCTCCCAGGTAATGCTTGGGAAGGGAATAGGCACATTTCCCTTTACATCCTACACACATGCACAAAAATATGGCTTCTTAGAAAAGGTGTTGCTAAAACCATCCATCCAGAAACCCTGCCATCTAGATGGGATTCCTAGATGGACAAAGGATGTTCTGTCTACCTGAAGGGTATTTCCCTGCTGCAAGCAGCATCTATCCTGCATGTACAAGCTATAGGCTGTAGACCACGTTATCCAACAGTAACTGTGAATGAATGCACATTTGCATCTGCACATTTGTAGATGAAAACATCACATCACAATGCCAGAAGTCTGGAGACCCTGGACCCCTTCCTTCAAAAGCATTTGAAATGGAAGAGAAGTCTCCATGGAACCTGCTAAATTTCTTAGAAGATTGCTTTCCTAAGTATTTAAGATGGAAGTTACTGGAGCAAACCTTAGTTACTTCATATGGCACTATCTCACTGTCACACCTAAAATTATATTCTTAAAATATTCTGGTCCAACACACAATTGAGCTGTTCACTTGACCTGTGTCAATCACTGGTTGGAACTGTTACCAGATTCCACTTATTGGGTATAATTAGTCCCGATTCCCTGGGCACACAGGGCTACCCTGAACCTTGTGAGTTCTGGTGCACACTTATCTCCTTGATCTCATACAATGTAGGTCTGTGTATGCATGTGACGTCCATAGCAGTAGTTCTTTGATATTTACAATAATGCATATTCTACACATGGCCACACAGAGGATGGTTGAGAGCCCTTAAGGCACTGTATTCTGTTTCAGTAATGGTCACAATAGGGTCACTTAATTTCTGGTTTCACTACATTGTCTTCATTTAAAGGAGCAGCCCACACTGCCTCAAAGTTCTCCAGGTTCAGGCGAACCTCTGTACCCTCATGCACACAGAAGGCGTTGTAATTTTGTTTGCAGCAGGACATGAAAAAAAAAATCTCAAAGAGTTTCCCTCTTAAACCAGTAGAAAAAGCTACTGGCTCCATCTTTGCAACAGAAATGAGCTCAGCGGCAAAGATAACCTGCCTTTATCTTTGAAAAAGCCTGTAAATTAAACTATTCATAGCCCATGGTACTGAAATACTGAATACTTCTGTCGATGTTATCTGACGTTCCTCACGACATCTGAAACCCACTTTCCCTACACCTTGGGGAACAATGAAGAAAGAGTGTACTTTGTAGCCCGTCCTGGCAAGCCTTCAAAAGAATATTTGGGGACATCATCTGCCTGCTTCAGTGAGTGCTGCTCCATGTTCCAGGAGAGGAAGTTGGAAAAGCAGGATGTGTGGGATGTAAAGTCTACAGCTGAGAAAGGAGCATGAGTTGCACTCTCGTAGATGGGAACAGTTAGGAATTCTTTTATCTTCAGTTTTCCCCATCTGTATGCTGGGCACAATAATAATGCTTGGCATATTGGGTTGTTATTATTTGGGGAGTACCATTCTTGATTTCAAGAAGAGAGACCGATCTTGGCTTTAGTTTGTTTGTTGAGACAGGTTCTCACTCCGTAGCCCTGGTTAGCCTGGTAATCATTCTTAAGTCTAGCTGGCCTTAAACATGCAGCAACCACTATCCCAAACTTCCCTAGTACTGAGAATAAGGCATGCACCATCATGCCAGACTTCTGGGCTGATCATCATATTATAAATTTATATGGAAAGTCATACGAGGGTTCTATAAAATACTGGTAGAAATGGCCACCTCTATGTTTGAATCATAGAGCACTGGAATGGCCACTAACAAGTTATGAAGAACTTCTTCTGAGCCTCATGTATAGCATATTGATCCTAAGCTACTATGGGGTGTTTTGTGATGATCAGACCCAGAAGTTGATCTTACCCACCTAGCACATTGTAGGAGCTCAGCAAGGACGCACAGTGGCTAACATTTGTTAAGGGTCCATCATGTGCTTGGATCCACAGAACAGCACTGATGGGGAGGGACCATCTACAATACCATATCTATTTTATCAATGAAAAAAATAGAGCCAGAAAGATACAGCAAGTGAGTTCCAAAGCCACAGTTTGACCTTGAATAATAGCTTTACCCCAGGATCTTTTCTCTTACCCCTGGAATACACTGCTTTGCCAGAGGAGACAGTACTGGTTCTGAATGTCCTTTATGTGTGCAGTGCCATCTGAGATGCCTGGGACTATTTCTGTGTTTGGACCACCCTGGACTCCTAGTGGCATGTGGAGAACTGGGTCAGACTTGTTTCTTCCCCTTTCTCCTCCTGAGTCTAGCCCTCACACATGGGGATGAACTCTCCGCCACCTGTTCTTCCTCTCCCTTGGGGGTAATGGATGGGATAGCACTTAAGGAAGACCCCAATATAGAAGGCAGATATTAAAGAAGGGGGAGGTCTTATTATTTCCACAGCAGCAAAGAAATGGAATCGCCACTGGGCTTTAAAGTTGAGAATATGGGGGGCTGTGCCCAATGAATCAGACTCTTTGAGGACACTGTTGTTATTAGTTTCAATTTGGGAGGTCCTGCAAGCTTCAGAAAGATGGTGTGTAGGAAAATTATTACCTATGGATGGTCAATTTGTTTGTTAGTCTTTCAGGGGAAGGTGTTTTGGCTTGTGCGCAGTCCAGCAACTTCATTACATTCTCCAAGAAAAAAAGCAACCTCTTTGTGGGTGAATGGACGAGAAACCACCTCTGTTTCTTAGCATTAGCAGATTAATCAGTTCCCTGGCCAGGGCACAAGTGGGAGTAAAAGAGAGGTGAGGTAAAAAGATCTTCCCATCATTCATAATGAACTTTGACTCCTTTTGTTTATGAGACAAGTATAATTTATCATAGGAAGAGTGTATGCATAACAGTCAACTTAGGAATTCTCCAAAATATGCATAATTGGCTCTGCTATATTGTTGGGTTGGCTTCATTGTGCTTTTATTCAGGTTGTTAGTGTGGACAGATAGTCGTTTAAAAAATTTTTTTTTGGAAAGGTCATATTTTGATGTACAACCATGGTTTAACTTGTTGCCTAAATGAATTCCCTTTTTCTTTTGTTCAAGGGCTTTGAACTACTCTGCATGAAGCTTTAGACTTTGCTCCAACATGCAACTAAGTTAGCACAGAGTGATTACCCTCATTGTTAGAAAGCATGAAATAAATCTGACATGCATTTCCTGATGACTTTTTAATTCCCTTCTAATGCAAAACTTTGGTGGAGAGTTTGCCCTACTAGTTTCGCTTTTTAATTATGCCACAGAAGTCTCCTGTCCTCCTAGAGAAGGTGGGTCCTATCAGCCCTTGGAAAATCACTTCTGTACATTATTTTCTGGAGGCAGAACAGTCAGAGAACCAAACTGACTTTGTCAGGGACTGTTTCTTTCTTGTCTTTCTGCACTACCGGCCATGTGTGATGTGTAATAGGGAAACGTCTTCAAAGGCTAATAATTAAAGGACATCTTTCTCAAAACAGAAACAAGGGTGTCTACATTTTGAACAAGGTATAATGGTTACCCTAAGGAATAAAAGCAAGAGCTTTTTCTTTTTTTTAAAATTAAACATGTAATCAATAAAACATCAAGATGAAAGAAGGCAAGACAAATCTGTAAATATTGTCTTATACCAAAGAAACATCGAATCATTTCATTTAAACAGATTCACTCTTTTTCACCCAGGCTCTGCTACTGACCTTAAACCACCAACAGCTTTGCTCTGTCTTCCTTTACCTCCCTGCTAGCTGTAGACTGAGCCCTTCCCCAGGAGGGAACAGATGTAACACAAACTTTGCAGCACAGTAACCCAGACAGGCAACCCCAAGATTAAAAAGGAAGTAAGATGAACTTCTGGAGACAAATTATGAAGGACACTTCTCTGTGTTGCTCGCCATCACAATCTCCAGTTTCAAGAGGCCACCCAGTCTTCATTAGAACAAAATACCGAAATAGATGTTTCTTTCCCCCTCTGTTTTCTCTCCACCCCCTCTGTGTTTTCCTTTGCTCTTCCTCTAAGTCCCCACATCCAACCTGGAGAAGGAGAACAAGAGAAAGGTCAGCTGAAATCATTTACCTGCGCACTGACTCTGGCTGGTAGCAAGGCAGTCCCCCTGCGCAGCGCCTCCTGCTTTCATTTTGCTGTGACTGGGGCTGGCCATCCCGCTAATAATGCTCGGATGACCGCCCACTGGAAAAAAAAAAGTCACTTGCCAGGCTCTTCCCCCAAGAGACATTTCAAGTAAGCAATGAACTTGGGCAGATTGGCCCCTTGGAATGTGCTGGTGCTCCAGGATTAGCCTGGCTAAGAATCCCATGGACATTCCCTCGTAGTTCTCAAACACTGCTTGATTTGAACATCTAATCTGAAGCCAGAAGAAAAACAAATCCCTGGGGAGATCGGGTTTAACCAGCACAAGTCCTAACTGCTTCCTACCCCACCCCCACCTTTTCTTTTTCCATTCTCAGTGGGGGAAAAAAAAAGCTT